AGAGAGAAGTTCCAGCTGACAGAAAGAAGAAACGCAAAAACAGAAAAAGAGCTCATTAATAAAACACGCTCCCTTAGCTTTAAAATGCACAGAAAAAAATGATCTAAATAAAGACCAACTCACCGAAACAGTGACATGCCGTGCTTCGCACCAAACTATCATCTGCTCGATACAAATTTAATGTCAATTCGAAAATTTTCGCATAAAAAGCAAAAATATCTGGAAAATAGAAAATAAATTTATAAGTGCCAACTTATAAGTGAAAATATTTAGCCCAATTTTTGATATGACAAAAATCATTTCGAAAACTGAAAAATCCATCCATAACGAAAAAAGGAATTTCCTAAAACATCTCGCAAAACAGCTTCAGAAACACAACAAAGAGAGTACTCTTTATAGAAGGAGCCAGTAGAAATAATGGAGAAAATATTCTTGATGAAACAAAAGAAAAGAGACGTACCAATATTAGCCGCGCATAAAAGTGCTTTGAGTATCTTCATTAAGCGCACAATCACCCTTGGTGAATCCGATGCAGAAGCGCTGTAGAGGAAAAATTCGATAACACTCCCTTTGTCAGCCAACGAAACACAAATTAGCGTGAAAATCGAGCAGAACGCAAGGTTCCGAGTGCTGCATTCGTCATCTACCAACAATTTTTTGGTCTAGAAATTAATAAATTTTAAATTAAAAAAAGTGCGCCATGAATATCAGTACTGCCCGAACAGTGGACTGGGGAACCTCATGTTAGTAAAGTAAATTACTGAGATGCTCCAACATGCCCGGAGACGACAGCGAAGATGAAGTGGAAGTGCCGTGGAAAAGCTTGTGAGTTTGCAGTGCACAAAATTAGAACTTTTTAAAAAATCCCATAAACAGCAGGGCTTCAACTAAATTTAAAAAGCCGGGCTCCTTTTTTGCAATAGAAAGTGAGCGGGGAATTAACTGAATCTCTGATTCTCACATTCAGACACGGCATGCTATACCGCTGCACCACCAGCCCTCATACCCTACCAGGCTGTTTGGATCTGAATTAAGAAGAGATCATTTTATCCAACTGAACAGCAAGCGGTTTATTGCGAAGAAGCATAGCAGTATATTCTCCTCATAACGAGACCACGTAAGCGACCTCCTGAGAGGGCGGAGGGGGGTAGAGAGGGAGTGAGGAGCCGCAAAAATCGTACCTTTTCGAGATAAAGATATACAAGATCCGAGAAATCATTCGTCACACAATAAGCTGTCATTTTACCAAAGCAAATAGCGCAACTGTCGAGAACAGCCTTATGCCGACTTCGCACCAACACATTCCACACAGAGTCATACGTATTTTCTAGCGCGCTTCTTTCCAACTTCGAAAATTCACATAACGTAGCCAACATTTGGCAGTTTATCTAAAAAATCAAAATTACAGGTCCAAAAGACAAGCAAGTAGCGCTTCTCTAACGCTGAACGTTGAAAATGTCAAACATTACGATTCGTTCCCTCCTTGGGAACAGTTATGGCGAAAGTCTTGAGTTTTAACAGAATCGAAAAAATGGTTGTTGGCAAAGTGCAAAAAACGAT